GGCACAGTAAAGGTAGCCCCAGGAAGGTGTGAGTGCATTTTGGTCATTTCACAGCTGGGGTGCTGGAGTACTGTGTCTGTCTCTCCCAGCCTCACATCCCCTATCTCCAACAGGGCAGCAGCGCCAGGCAAGAAGGGGTAAAAAGCTCTTTATTTGAAGCTCCAGGGTAGGGCAGGGCACTGGCCTCTCAGCCGAGGCCCCCACAGTTCAGTTTCCCTACGGTTCACAGTGAGGCCCCGCCACACAGTCCAGCTGTGCCCATCGGCAGGCGGGTCAGACCTGCAGGTTGACAAAGGGTGCAAAGCCTGCCATGTCCTGTAGCAGCACCAGGGCCTGATGCAGCGGAGGCTCCACATCGATGTCCACGCCGCGCTTCCGCAAACGGCTTAGGCTGGGCTCGGCCACATGGTGGCAGTGCCGCACCCGCAGCGAGCGCAGCGCGGGGCAGTACTCGGCCAGCGTCCTGGGGGAGGAGCCGGGTGAGGTGAGGGGCGTGAAGCCGCTACACCCACGGTGGGGGAGCCGGCAAAGCCCCTGTCTCCCTCCAGTTCGGGGTATACTTCTTCCCTCCGTATAGAAGGGAGGAGACCCGGTTTGGGGTCATACATTTAATGCGTCCAGTGAACCGGAGACTTCCTGTCTCTGAAACAGGGAACCTGCTTCTCAGCTGTGCCCAGGATTGCAAGGTTTTCCCCTTGTTGAAGAACAGCCAGAAATCTGACTTTTGTACTCTGTATGTGGAATCTCCCAATGTGTAAATACTGGTTCAAAAAAGTTTTTAAACTGTGGGCTCTCTGGCCTAGGCATTCCTAGAGGCCCTTCCTGTTCAGAATGGGGGTACCGTGGTAGCAGGAAGATACAGGAACCCCAGTTCTGCCTTTCGACAACTACAGCCCGCCCCAACCCCCAGAGGCTAATTGATTGCCCTCCTCCCATCCCACCGACCCCAGGCCCAGGCACCTGACACCGTCGCTTCCAACCCGGAGGCAGCCGGTTAGGTCGAGGTGCTGGAGTTCCGGGCAGTTGCGAGCCAACTCCTGGACGGCGACGTCCCCCACATTTGCGTTGACCGCCAGCGAGAGGCTGCGAAGGCCTGCGCCGCGCCTCTGTGCCAGGTACACGATGGCTTCATCCTTGAGCTGTCGGCAGGCGGTGAGGTCCAGCTCCTCAAGGGCCGGACAGCGGTCAGCGAGGCCGCGCAGCGCCAGCCCATCTACCCAGTCACAGTGCGCGAGCGAAAGGCGCTGCAGGCGGGGGCAGCCCTCGGCCAGCGCCCCCAGCGCGCGGCGGCTCAGTTGCCCGCAGCCGGCCAGCGCCACACTCCGCAGCTGGGGATTCCGCGCCAGCACCGGCACCAGATCCTCGTCCGACAGCCATTCGTGACACGGCGCCAGCGCCAGCTCCTGCAGCCCCTCGGCGTCCCGCAGCAGCCAGGCCAATGCGGCCTGCGGGATCTGCGGACCCACCTACGGGCGGGGAAGCACCTCGACTCTCAGCTGGTTACGGGGGCAGACGCTGCCTACCCGTCCCAGAGGAGTGCTTTCCTGGCAGCAGGTCGCCCTCGGGGCTTGCCACCTGACCTCCCAAGAGAGACCCTACGCGCCCTCTGAGTTGATTCCCGGTACTCGCCCTTTGAGAGTACTTCTCGCTGGGTGGATCGCTTCCAGGTCATTCCTAGAGGCCCAAGGGGGATCCCAAAGGGTAGACAGCAGAGCTGGGAGCTGGAGGTTCAGGGCTGGCGACTGGAGGTTAGAGGCGGGGCTGGAGCCGGGGCGGGGGCAGAAGTGGGTGGGGCTCCGGCCCCAGGCTTACCTGAGCGGCGTCGAAGCGGCGCAGCCCGGCCAGGTGCAGCTGCACTAGCGCCCGGAAGGCCCGACTGACGCGCTGCAGCCGGAGCAGCTGGCGCAGCGGCACACGGTTCAGGACGTGTGGGAGCAGCACGTCTTCCCAGGGCAGGTCCAGGAGCCTGCGGGCAAAGGGGCGTTGGCGGCGGCGTCACCGGGTTGCTGTTACCTGCGAGTCCGCCTCCGTTATGCTCCTAAGCCCCGGCTCCTAAAAGCGACCCCCAGACCCGGCCCTGGTTCAGCTACCCTCCCCCAGGCATTTTTTCCCTCTCTCGGCCCCTCCGGTGCTCGGTACCTGACGGCTCCGGGCTCTTGCTCCCCTCCGGACTGCTCCATCGGTGGCTCCATCGGCTGTCTACTGCGCGTGCGCAGTAAGGTCTTCTTGCTTTGGCCTGGAGCGGCCGCAGCGAACCCGCCTACTTTGGCTGTAGAGACAGACCGATTCAATCGAGTGCCGGCTCACTGAGGATCCTGTCTGAAAGTGTTCCGGATGGATCCCGAAACTGAAGGCGAAACAGGCCGGTGGTATAAAGTTAGACCTCGCCTTCTCCGCTACAGGGCTTGAGACCCGAGGCTGAAGAATGCGATGGTGCAGCAGAGACTGGCTTTTTTCGTTTTGGGCTAGTGGCCGCCTCAAAGTGAAGTGATGGGAGGAGCAGGCAAAGCCAAACGTATAAGGGGCGGGGCCAGGACTGTTAAGGTTCTGGGCCTATTTTCTCTGCCCTCTGATCGCGTTTAGCGAGTTTGAAAAATGGGGAAAAACTGTCCAGGCTCTTATTGCCTGGCACGTAGTAGATGTTGCTGAATGAATTGAATGGGGAAAGCTAGAATTTTTCATCCTTCATCAAGCAAACTTGCCCAAACCTCCCATCCCTGGTTAATTGTGAAGTACAGAGCTATCCAACCCTTTCCACTCCCGGAAGATTTGTAACGGGTTTACACCTTGGAGGGAGAAACGTAGGGTCGAGAAGAAGGACTGTATCTCCAACTGGGTCCCTTTCCTTTACCCAGGAGGTCTAGAGTCCTGAGAAGAATAAGTGTTCAGGTCAGCCCTCCAGGAATACTGCTTATCGGTTGGCCTGGGGGTTTAGTTGTGGGGTCTGGGGCTGGGCCCGCCCTGGGGCAGTAATCCCCCCCCCCCCCCCCACACACACAGAGCTCTGGGCTCAGACTCTGGGTTGCCCTCTCACTGCGTCCCCAGATCCTAGTTCAGAGTCCGCTCCAGGGAACCTCTGGAGCAGTGCTTTCCCCATCATCCATTGGCGGGGAGGATGTGAAGGAGGCCGAGGGCTGCTGCTCTCCCAGATAGCTCCCATCCCCCCACCCCAACCCCCGGCCCCAGCAGGGTTGCACTTTCCCGTCGTGCAACCGTTTCACCTGCCTCTTCATAACGAAAAATGCTTCCCATCCATTATCAGGGCTTCGGCATCTCTGCAAGGTGGGCATGTCTGTTCCGTCACTCCACTTTGAAGATGAAACCGAGGCCCTGGAGAGGCAGCACCTTGTCCGGGGTCAAGCGAGTCGGGATAAAGAACTCAGGCATCCTGGTTTTCCCAAAATCCCTTTCACACTCCTCCACCCTCCCCCACCCCACCCCCACTCCCATGATGCGAGAAGGGAGTAAACAGCAGCGGGGAAGGACCAAGGAGGGTCAGTTTGGGTGAGGGACTTGCTCCCTTTTCCTCCGCCTGCTTGGGGAAGGGTAGCTGGGAGGACAAATCTGTGCTAAGATAGAGTCAAGTGGGCGCGCACCACCTCGGGCCGCGCGCCTCCGCCCCATCCCAGCGTTGTTCCCGCTTCTGCGCCTGCGCAGTGTGACAAATCTGGCGCTGTCCCCTTCAGCACCACGCCGAGCCCGCGCAGCCCCTCCCCGCGGTGAGCCCCGCGCACCCCCGCCCCGCAAGTTCTTGCGCCCCCTGACCACTCGAACAGATCCCTTCTTCCTTCCGAGGTCACCACTTGCCTGCCCTGGAGTTCCCAAGAAGAGCAGTTGCCCTAGTAACTTTAGCGGTGCTTTCTTAAAATAGCCGGGCCCGCTTCTACCTTGGCCAAGGACACAAGGGTTGCCTGTCTCCCACTTCCTCTAGTCCAGGCGTCATTCCGTCTAACCTCTTACCAGACGGGCAGGATGCCTAACTCAGGCAGCAAGGAAGTTCTTTTTGAAGTCTGACTAACATCCCTTCTGCTGCATCCTGGGCGAGTGGTCAGGGTTGTGTCTCCTGAGTCCTAGTCTTAGAACATCCGGAGGGTTTGAGGCAGTGCTCCCTAGATCTTTCTTCCATAAATTGATGGTCTCCTGGATTTAGGGGGCGGGTCCAGTCTACACCCGTACCGTGTGCTGGCGCGGCCGCGTGCTCGTGGGGGCGGGAGCGCATGTGGCATGTAACAGGTCATGTGGCAACCTCCTAGGGACACGCGTGGGGTCTGGAGCGGGACACGCGTGTGCAGCTGGGTCCTGCGTGCCGCTCGGGGTGGTGGACGAGAGGGACGTGGACACGATTGGGGTGGGTCATGTGAGGGTCTGAAGAACAAACCAGAGGTTCCATACGTCCTCCCCCTCCTCAGGGGCGGGTCTCAGGTTGGCGGGATTGCCCAGCGGGGACCTAGCGTCGAGAAGGGGGGCCAGCCTCCGGGGCTCAGGGCCCCGGGAAAGGGCGGGGTGGGGGGGAGGATTAGCTCTGAGCCGCGCGTAGGGGGGAAGGAGGGACTGAGAGGCGGGCGGGCCTGGAGCAAGCGGGAGCAAGCGGGAGTCGCGCTGCCTTCACAGCTGAGCTGGGCCCAGCCTCTCCCCTGCCTCTCCTCGGCCCCAGCTCCAGGCGAGCAGCGGTGAGTACTGAGGCGGCTCGAGTCCAGGGCTGCACTGGGGGTGCGCTGGGCCCCGATTGAGCTTCAGAAACCTGCCTGGCATGGTTGCTGCTCCTGACCCTTGCCCCTACCCTGCATTGCCACCAGGAGACCTTTTACCCCTTTATGGTCCTTCCTGGGTTGGACAAGATCTGTCATACGCCTGGGGGGTGGGGGGAGAGATGGGGAGAGGGTCTGGTTCAGCCTTCACGCTGCCCCCCCCAGGAACCAGTGACTAGTGGGGGTTGGGGGAGAGGGTGTATGTCCCTGTTTACGGATGTGTGTGAGGATGCATCTGTATGTGTGTGACTGTGATCAGTAAGTGTCTGTGAGTGTCTGATATGCCTGTGTCTCTATGTGCCTTGGAGAATGAGGGCCTGTGTGTATATTTGGGTATCTCTTTGTGTGTTCCTGTTTGATTGCAGTGTGTGTGTAAAACAAGCATGTGCCTTTCCATTACACACATATTTGTTATGACTGTGAGAGTGTATGAGGGTGTGTCTTTGAGCAATGTGTGTGTGTGCCTGTGTCTGTGTGTGCTGGAGGGTGTTGTCTATGAATGTGTTAGCTGTGTACTGATATTATTTGTCCTTATGTGTGTGTGTGCATGAGTATGTGTACCTGTATGGAGAACAAGAATGTCCCTTTCCCATTCAGCATGTATGTAGTAGAGGAGGAGCCTCTGTTCAGGCCTTTCTCTTCCCTTTCACCTATGCCTCTCAGCCCCTCATGTCCCTATGTACCACCCCCATTCTTCCTCCCTCTCCTTCCAGGAGGCCTGAGTTCTCTCCCCCTGAGTGAGGGGCTTCTATAGAGAGACTGTGGAAGGTCCATGGCTGGACGATGATGATGGCTGGCTGATACTTCTGGTCTTGAGGGTGGGGTAGCAGTCTTCCCCCTCCCCCACCAGAAGTAGTTCCAAAATGCCACAGGAACTCTGGGCTCACTCAACTTCTGAAATGCCTTCCTCTCTCCTCCCAGGGTGATGCTTAGAGCCCCCAGGCAGAAAGGAGAGGAGCCAGGGGCTCATTGGGGGTACAATTCTTTTCTCTTCAGGCCTCCATGGAAGTAGTCCCAGCAGGAAGACTGATCATCACCCCCAGGGGTGGGATCAATGATGCCATATTCCCGGCGTGGGCTAGACCCCTGGTGCTCAGTGACCCCAGCCAGCTTTCCCTTCCCTGTCTCTGCTCTCCTGTCCACCCAACTCCCCGGCAGTTCACCCCCTCCTCCCCTTCCTCTCTTGCAGGCCTGTCTGAAGAGTATGCTGCGCCCTCACTCCCCACCTGGCCTGGCCATCCCTGCCCCCCCAGCCTGACCCCCGGCCCCAGCATGGCCCAGGGTGCCATGCGCTTCTGCTCGGAAGGCGACTGTGCCATCTCCCCGCCACGATGCCCACGCCGCTGGCTCCCCGAAGGCCCAGTGCCCCAGAGCCCCCCAGCCAGCATGTATGGCAGCACAGGCTCCCTACTACGGCGGGTGGCAGGTCCAAGTCCCCAAGGCCGGGAACTTGGACGTGTGACAGCACCCTGTACACCCCTGCGTGGCCCCCCTTCACCCCGTGTTGCTCCCTCACCCTGGGCACCCTCTTCACCCACTGGGCAGCCTCCACCAGGGGCCCGGAGCTCTGTGGTCATATTCCGCTTTGTGGAGAAGGCCAGCGTGAGGCCACTGAATGGGCTACCTGCTCCCGGAGGCTTGAGTCGGAGCTGGGACCTGGGTGGGGTCTCTCCTCCCAGTCCCACCCCAGCCCTTGGTCCTGGCTCCAACCGAAAGTTGCGGCTAGAAGCATCCACATCAGACCCACTCCCAGCTGGAGGAGGCTCAGCTCTGCCTGGCAGCCAGGGCCTTGTACACGGGCCACCAGCTCAACCTCAGGTTGGAGCAGACGGCCTTTACTCCTCTCTCCCCAATGGGCTGGGGGGACCCTCTGAGCACCTGGCCACATTATTCCGAGGACCTGCTGACACTGGACTCCTTAACCAGGTATGTGATCTCCCTTGGGCTCCCTGGAACCCCAGAGACCCAGCAAAGGCCAAGGCTTGTCTTCTTGGTGGTCTTGGGCCTATCAGCTGTTCACTCTGAATCCTTCAATGTGTGCTAAATCTGCCTCTTTCTTGCCCTCTTTGTTTGTCCTTATGTCTCTGCACCTCTGTCCCTGTCTGTTTTTCGTTCTGTGTTTCTGTCCCGTGTTCTTGTGTCTGTGTGTGTCTGGCTTTATCTCTGGGTGCCTGTGTCTATGTCTCCCTCCTTGGCTTAGGGGGACACCTGGTCCTCACCCAGAGAAGTCTCCTCTCATGCCCAGAGAATCGCTCGAGCCAAATGGGAATTCTTCTATGGCTCTTTGGACTCCCCCAGCTCAGGTAAGGCCTGGGACTGAGGCAAGGGGAACAGGACAGGGCCTTTTCCACAGCAGCCATGGCGGGCTAGGGAGCCTTCCTTTAAACCTCCCCCTATTCTTTCCTGGGCTTCTGAGTCAGCTAATGCCTCTCTAGGCCTCAGTCTATCCATCTGTGTTATGATGGGGGTTGGGGGATGGCAGCTAGGTTGGGCACTTGGAGGAAGCTGGGTAGTAGAGGGAGGGGATGGCAGGATGTCAAGGGTCATTCCTTGGAGTAGAAAAGAGGCTGGTCTCCCTCAGGCCCCTCAAAGCTGTTTGATAAGAACTTGATTTGAAATGAGCTCCACTGGCACCAGGAACAAGCTGAGTTTGTAGCAGGAGGAATGGCGGCTAGACAGTGAAAGAGCTTCCTGCCAGTTTGAGGCAGTGGGGGAGAGTTCCTTCTGAGAACAGAATCAGGACAGGGAGCTGACCTGAATAACCTCCTGACCAGGATGCCTGTGCACACTGCAGGTGCTAAGCCCCCAGAGCAGGCCCCCCCATCTCCACCTGGGGTGGGCTCAGGGCAGGGCTCTGGGGTGGCTGTGGGGCGAGCAGCCAAGTACTCCGAGACGGACCTGGACACAGTGCCCCTGAGGTGCTACCGCGAGACCGACATCGATGAGGTGCTGGCTGAGCGGGAAGAGGCTGACTCGGCCATCGAGAGTCAGCCCAGCTCTGAGGGCCCGCCTGGCACTGCCCGCCCACCTGCCCCACGTCCCGGCCCATGCCTTGGCCCTCGTTCCAGCCTGGGCAGTGGCAATGAGGACGAGGATGAGGCAGGTGGGGAAGAGGATGTGGACGACGAGGTGTTTGAGGCCTCAGAAGGGGCCCGGTGAGTGAGGGAGTGGGAGAGGAAAGTGGCTTGCTCCTTCCCACTGGCCCAGAGCCAGAGCTGGGCTCAAAGGGATGGGAATAGAGACAAGGGTGGGGCCGGGAATGTCAGGACAAAGCGGTGTGCTGACAGGGCGCTGTAGCACTCGGGATTCCGGACAGAGGCCTGAGGCCTGGCAGGGTGCGGGGGGGTGTGGGGACCATCAGCAAGAGCCCAGGAGGGTAGGGGCAGCCAGGATAGAGGAGGAAAGGGGTTCTAATGAGGGCCAGGGGCAGAGTGACAGGCCGAGGTCAGAATCAAGCCTGGGGGCACGGGAGCATCAGGCTAGATCCTGGATCCCGGCAGGAGAACGTGGAGTGTAGGGGCCTTCCTCTCTGTCTCACACCCCATTGCAGCCTGGAGCCTCATCTTCTTTTCCTAAGATGTTGCCAGAAATAGAAATGGGATGGCAGGAGGAGAGAGGATCAGGGAGAAGGAGGAGAAAGGGAGATTAACAGGGAGTGAGAGAGGAAGGGGATTGGGTGTTGGGTATGGGTAGGGCTGGGGTGCTCCAGGGTCACTAAATAGCTTGGCAAACATGTGGTGGGGACCCCGTACCCGGGTGGCTCTTTTCGGGGGCTGGGAGCCTGTGGAAAGGGGATGATAATCCCCTTCACAGAGTCGGTATGAAAGTTCAATGAAATGTTACCTGAGAGCTGTCCTGTAGGCCCCTGATCAGAGATTCTCCTCCCCGCCCCTGCAGGCCAGGCACCCGAATGCCTCACTCCGGGCCTCTCAAGTCGCCTCTGCCCTTTCTACCTGGGACCAGCCCCTTGGCTGATGGGCCCGACTCTTTCAGTTGTGTGTTTGAAGCCATCTTGGAGTCACACCGGGCCAAGGGCACCTCCTACACCAGCCTCGCCTCACTGGAGGCCCTGGCCTCACCTGGCCCAACCCAGAGCCCCTTCTTCACCTTTGAGCTGCCTCCCCAGCCTCCTGCCCCCAGGCCTGACCCACCTGCTTCTGCCCCACTTGCCCCTCTCGAACCGGATTCTGGTACCAGCTCTGCTGCTGATGGGCCTTGGACACAGAGAGGGGAGGAAGAGGAGGCAGAGGCTGGAGCCAAGCAGGCCCCAAGGAGGGAGCCCCCTAGTCCCTGCCACTCAGAAGACAGCTACGGGCTGGGGGCAGCTCCCCTGGGCAGGTGAGTGATTCCTTTGGGTCCTCAGACTTGAGGCCCCAGGGCCTCAGACTTGAGGCCCCAGGGCCCCAGGGCCCCAGGAACAGTTGCTCTAAGGGACAGAGCCTGAGTGTGAAGATGTAGTTTATATTCTTAACCCCTGATAGGAGTGGTTAGGGGATACAGATGTGTTTTCTCATTTGGAGGACTACTTCCATTGGCTGTGAGTGGGAGCCCCTCACAGCCTGCCGCCTTGGTCTCAGATCCAGTGACTTGCGAAACCATGGTTTAGGATTGAAGGGTCCCTAGAGGACACCCTCCTCTTTCTCTAGAAGGGCCCTTCCCTCCCCAGACAGAGCCCTAACCTGCTTAGAATTCTTCTGATCTTACCCTCAGTCAGCCTGGAGGTTTCTCCCAAAGATGCAGCCACCAGCTTCTCCTTTTGCTTCCCTCCCATGTCACCTCCCCCCTCCAATCTAGAGTCTCTCACTCTTCTCCAGGAAGTCCTTTCACCAGTCTAACCTTTCTGCTCTCCCCTCTGCCAACTACCCTCTCAGTCACTGAAGCCATGGCAACAGGAGGGGGTGGCCAGGGAGACAGGGTTGCCTAGCAACTAGGAGTTTCCGGCCTCTGTCTCTGGGGTGACAGGTGGCTTTGTGAGTAGAGCAGCTGGGGTGGGAAAGGAAGGCAGAAGGAGACAGGGGATGAGGAATTCACTCTGACCCCCAATACCCTCTACCCCAGAGCCTACTTCTTTGAGGGTGTAAGAGAAGGACTGGAGGAGGCTCCTCTCCCTAAAAGGCGGGAAGGGGAAAGACATAGGAGCAGGAAAGTGTCCCTGCTGCCCTCACATCTTTGTCTGCCCCTCCACTGTTCCTCCCTAGCAGTCCATCTATCCTATCTTTGCCCATAGTCTCAGACAGAGAGGACTCTGTCCTGAGTAGGTCCAGTGTGGGAATGGGGAATCTATGTCTAATAGCAAACTTAGGGAGCTTTGGGGAAAGCAGCCAGAACTCCCAAAGCAGCAACATGGACGTGGGTTAGATTTGAGGCAGGACTTCCACAGAGAGGTGGTAATGATGGAGTAGGCTGATGGAAGGAATCTACTTCTCTGGAGAAAAGAAAAATGCCTTCCCCATGTCCCAATCTTCCCTTCTCTGTCTACTGGGTCTGGAGGCAGAGGAAGGATCTGGATGGCCCCCGAGGGCTTGCCCCACCTCTGAGCTGGTGTTCTACCCTGGCAGTGAACCGCCCCTGAACCAGCTCGTGTCTGATTCGGACTCAGAGCTGGACAGCACAGAGCGGCTGGCCCTGGGAAGCACAGACACCTTGTCTAATGGGCAGAAAGCAGACCTGGAGGCTGCGCAGCGCCTAGCTAAGAGGCTGTACCGACTAGATGGCTTCAGGAAGGCGGATGTGGCCCGGCACCTGGGCAAGAAGTAAAGGCACTGGGCTGGGATTGAGAATGGGGGGAGAAGGGATGCATCCTGCGGGCAGCACCTCCACATCCCCTGTATCTAATACCCCCAGGTCTCTAGGTAAACCCCACCTGGCCCCTTGACACTTCCCCTTGAGACTCCACCTGTCTCTCTGCCCTGCCCACAGCAATGACTTCAGCAAACTTGTGGCTGGAGAGTACCTGAAGTTCTTTGTCTTCACGGGCATGACTCTGGACCAAGCTCTCAGGTGGGTGTCCAGCCCTTTGAGGGCAGTGCCTACTCTCCAGGCCTGGTGTGCAGGGCCTCAGTTATGCCTCCTCTGAGCCCCGTGACTCCCCTAAACTGCCCTGAAGTCACCCTTTCCCAAGGTGTCTGGGCATGGCCAAGAGCCAGGGCTGCCTGGTAAGGGGACCTTGGGTAGAGGTGACATGTCCCCTCTTCCCACCTCCCCAGGGTGTTTCTGAAGGAGCTGGCCTTAATGGGTGAGACCCAGGAACGAGAGCGTGTGCTGGCCCACTTCTCCCAGAGATACTTCCAGTGCAATCCTGGAGCCCTGTCCTCAGAGGGTGAGGAGGCCCGGGGCAGGGCATTCCTGGCTGGTCACTGAGGCAGATGGGCACATCTGTGCAAAGCAGCATGAGTGTGTGTGCAGAAGTACCCAAATGCACGAGCTTGCAGGCATGCAAGCATGCATGTATGCAGACAGTACTGGCACGGCTGCACAGATGTGGAACTGTGCATGTGGGCAGGTATAGTGCTAGGTAGGGTCTAGTGTGTGTTGTGAAGAGGCACGTGGCAGGTGTGTTTGCATGCCGTTGTTTGCATACATGTGCAAGACACTGCTTGGCCTGAGTAGGGATTCTATTTGGTCTGCATAACTGTGTGGGGCCCAATGGCTTGCATAGACACAGAGGCATGGTGGTGTTGGGGCAAGCAGTGGGCTGCCCCTAGAACCTTAGGGAGTTAGGTAGGGTGACCTAAGAAGAGGGAGAGGTCCCATCTGAGGGATTTACTGGAAGAGAGGTCTTTGCTCTGGAGGGGTTTGCTAATGGGGTCGGGGACTTACAAAAGTGTGGTTGTGAGCCAAAGGGGTTCCTGAAAGGGGGCAGGGGATGAACTGGAAGATTGAGGAAGATAGATGTGGAAGAGTCCCTGCGAGGTGGCCAAGGCTGAATGTCAGTTCTCTCCTAGACGGTGCGCACACGCTGACCTGCGCCCTCATGCTACTCAATACGGATCTCCACGGCCACGTGAGTAGGGGGGCTGGCGGGAGGGAGCCCGGAGCACCCCGTCCAGGCCCTCAAGGCCTGGGAGGCGAAGGACTCCCCAAGCTCAGAGGCCTCTGTGCCCTCCATTAGAACATTGGGAAGCGCATGACCTGCGGAGACTTCATTGGTAACCTGGAGGGCCTCAACGAAGGCGGCGACTTCCCCAGAGAGCTGCTCAAGGTGGGGGGTGGGGTGGGGCGGGGCAGAGGTCGTTGGAGGGGAGGGACAGGGGACCTGTCAGCAGGCCTCCGAGGGAGGGGCGGGGAGGGGCCTGCCACCACCCAGTTCCCGCTGTGGAAGCCTGAGCTCTAGTGACTCAGCCTGGGGACCGCCCCCTCCCCCAGCCCCCACAAGACTGGCTTTCCCGGAACATGCGCACTCGCAGTCCCAGCGCGCAGCGGGGGAGGGCGGGGAAAACAGTTCTCGAAAACACGTGACCAGCAGGCCCTGGACCCTGTATTTTGGCTTCGTTAGTGCCCCTCCTTAAGTGTTCACTGAGGAAAAGGGTGGGGTGTGTGTGTGTGTAGGTACACCACTTCCCTCCCCGCGCCCAGCCCCCGCCCCACGGAGTACGGCCACAAAGGCCTCTCTGGTACCGCTGCACTGGAGGGACCCGGAGATGGGGGCCCTGAGAAGGACAAAGGCTTTCCGGGGTCCTGAAGCCAGTTAGCACCAAGCTGGGACTACACACTGCGCTTCTGGCTTCTGGCTCCTTAGTGGGCAGGCCCCGCGCCCAGGCGCCAGGTCCTGAGGGGTTAGCTACACTGGAGCGGGTAGGATGGGAGGAGGAGGGGGGTGGCCTGGTCCTTGGCTTCAGTCCTCTTCCAGATCGGGTGGCGTTTTATCTGAGAAGGCCTGCACGCCCTTGAAACCCCCAGAGTTGTCAAAGGGGTCTCCCGGCCACCGCATACATGTGATAGCACAGGAGTGTCCTGGGGTGTGTCTGTGAACGTGGGGTATGTTGAGCTTCTGAGTTTGGGAACGTATCTTGAGTGGGGCCGTCCACTGTGAGTTTGGGGGGGCGTCAGTGAGTTGGGGTGTATGCTGACTTGTATATGTGATTTAGGGTCTGTGAATCATAGGGCTTTGACTTGGAGTGTGTTTGTGCTTTAGGGCTTATGATTTAGAGTGTGTTGGGATGTAGGTTGGGTGTTTGTGTGTGTTGGGGTGTATATCTACGAATTGACTATCTGGTTTATGACAGGTGTCCATGAGTAGGGGGTGTATGTCTGAGTTAATGACTGTAAAATTTGAGGTGTACCTCTGAATTTGTAGTGTCTGTGAGTTGAGGTGAATGTGAATTGGTGCATCTGGTTAGTTGGGGTGTATGTAAAGTGGGGTGTTTGAAGGTGATTATATACTCGGGCATTTGAAGTATCTGTGGGTCGGTGAGCTGGGTAATTCCACGGCTGTCTCCATCCCGCGCCGCTGTCTCTAGACTCGTGGCCCCTCCTGGCTCTGTAAAAAAGGGCCGCCAGGAGGCGTTCCGACCTTTCTCCTCACCACCGCACTCTGACGAGCCAGGAGAGCGCTCCAGACCCTACAGGGACAGCCCATCTCACAGCCCTAACCTCCCAGCACCCCTAGAAAAGGCCACCGCGCCGCCCCCCCACGGGCCCTCCCAGGCGCCTCCCCCGTGACGGCGCGCGGCGGGCCCTCCTCTCGGTCGGACGCCTCCATTTTGCGCCGTCCCCGCCCCTCGCCCTCGCCCTCCCCTCTCCGCCGGCGCCCACCCCCCCACGCGCTCTCGCCGAGCTGCAGAGCAGACCGCGTCGTCGCCGCCGCCGCCGAGCGCTCCGTGCGTCGGTGGGAGCCGGGCCGGGCCGGGCCGGGCTCGGGCCGGGCCGGGCCGGGCTGCTCGCGCCGGCTGTCGGGGAAGCCGTCCGCGGGCCGTCCGGGCCGTCCGCGGCCGAGGCCGGACGGCGGCATGGCCGGGGGCCGCGGCGCGCCGGCCGGGCCAGCATGATCGGTGTCAACAGCATCCACAGCAGCGCCGGGCGGCTGCGCTCGCGCTCGCTGTGCTCCGTGCGCTACGGGCGCACCCACCGCGGCGCGGAGACCCTGTGCTACGGCTGGCCGCAGCGCTCGCGCAGTCTCAAGCCCGTGCTCTACACCGACCTGGTGGTCAGCCGCCTGCAGAGCCGCAAGAAGAAAAAGGCGGTGAGGGCGGTGGGGCCGCGGCCCACGCCAGGCTGGGGGACGACCGAGGGGGTTGCTGAGGGCGGCACGCGACTGAGGGGGCGGCTTGAGGGAGGCGCCGAAGGCATCGCAAGCCGAGGGGGGATCCCGACACGGACAGAGCCCACGGGTAGCCAGGGGTGGGCATGGGGTGGGGGTAGGGCAGAGACCCTCGGATCAAGTTGGGGATCGCAGACCAAAGGGTCTTTGGACCTTCTAGATGAGAGCATGAGACGGAGCTCACCTGTGGGGTTTAGGAATTTTCGAAGGAAGACGTTGTGGGCCAAAGGAAGTGCCGAGAGGGGCAGGGGATGAACTGCAGGGGTGGAGACAAGGACCGCAGGTTGGCTTTCGGTGGCCACTTCACGTCCTGGCCCGAGAGTTGGAGCGTGAGGGCTTAGGGTCTGCGCCTTGCTGAGTTTGGTCGGGGTGGTGCTGGGAGGGCTGAGTATGCATCTGACTGGGTTGTGCTGTGGGGTGGAGGTCGTGGTGTACCTGCCCCCCGCCAGGATGTGCCCATGTGGGGTGCTTGGCAAGCCTTGTGGTTGGGTATAGCAGTGGACAGTGAAAGAGTCAGAGACCGTGTTGTGTGGGCAGTCGGGGCCTGTGTCCCATCTTGGAGAAGGTGCCAACGTCACCACTGCATCCAACTCCTCGCACGCAGGCATCACACGCCACACGCTTAGCCGCATGTGCTGGGGACACACCCACTCACGGACAGGCTGGTGGAAGCGCCCCCACAGTGGGAGGCACTGGTGTGAACCCACGTTGCAGGCTACTCCCAAGAAGAGGGGTCCCCTATGCCACTACTGGAACCCATCCTCACCTCCGACCACCCCAAGGCCCCTGCAGGTCCCCCAGGCCAACTGTACAGAGGCAAGTGACTGGTTCGGGAATTCACAGGGAGTGTGGAGTGTGCAGGGTTTGGAAGCTAAAACAATTGTCTTTTAGACTAGTGTCCACTCTGCAGGAACATGAAGTATGTGCGTGGGCAGGGGGCTGGACCACTCTGGCATTTGGCTTGGTGGGGCTCTCTGGGTTGGGCGAAGATCTCAGCTTGCACTGGGGCTGGGAGCCATGGGAGTGTGTTCTCTGTTAGCCAAGGAGGGAGGTGACAGGGAGAGTCCTGTTCCTGGGCCTCAGTTTCCCCATATGCCCTGTGTGGGTTTATCCTGTCGAAATAGGCCAAAACACATGGTTGGGGAAAGGAGAGCTTCTTAGGCTGCTCTTTTCCATTCCTTCTAGGGCTGTGCTTCCCCCACCCAGGTTCTGAATAGGATGACTCTTAACAATAACAACAACAGCAAAGATAATAGCAGTTGCTATTTGTTGTACATAAACCGCCAGGATGTCCTGTGTTAGTTGCTTGCCCTATGGTAAACACGTGGTACTTGGACTTCCCTGGCGGTCCAGTGGTTAAGAGCTCCCAGTGCAGGGGTGCGGGTTCTATCCCTGGTCAGGGAACTGAGATCCTGCATGCTGTGTGGCGTGGCCAAAAAAAAAAATAAAACGACCATGTGGTGCTACGTTTGTTCTTCCCATGGTGACTTGTCCAAAGTCATGCAGCTCAAGTGGCAAACCTGGGCCTGGGTCCTAGTACCTTGTTCTAGAGCCTGTCAGTCATTACACCCTGCTGCCCATCCCCACCCCCAGTTCTGTCTCCTCCCCCAAACTTGGAGGGAGGGCTCTGAGCTCTGGCATTGGTGCCCCTCCCCCCAGGATTGACCCCCACCCCCTTGGTTTGTTCCTCCCTCTGCAGGCCTTGTACAGCTCCATCAAGAATGAAAAGTTGCAGTGGGCCATGTGAGTCCTGGGGCGTGTGAGGGGCTGGGATGGGACGCCGGGAAGGGGCTGCCTGGAGAGGTCGAGAGCCCTGAGATGGGCTGAGTGAATCCTGGGGCTGTGGAGCCGGGTAGGCGGGTGAGAGCACGAGAGGCAGTGAGGCTGCCTCACTTCCTTTTTTGGAGGTGCCCGCCTGGACGTGGGGTTCTGTGTCTTGTCTCTAGCTGGGTTGTTATGACAAGCTGGGTTGGGGTGGGTGGCCATTGTCAGCTGGCCTGGGATGAGGGTGCTGAAACAAATGGGGGGAGGTCTCTTGGCACCCAAGTGGGAAAATAGAAGTCTCTGGAAGTAGGGCCCCGACCAGTAAAGGGAGAGCCTCCTCCTGGGTCCTAGGGAGCCCAGAGTGTCACAGAATTGTCTACTCTTGGCAGCCCCAGTGGAAACAGAAAGACTCAGAGTTAAGTCTTGGAAGAGTCTAGTCTGAGGGAGGAGGTCTAGTTTTAGTCGAGTCCCCCAGTCTGAGGTAGAGCCCTCATCTAAACAGTCAATAGATCACTCCTACTTGCTGGTATCTGCTGAGAGTCCAGTCACTGCTCAGTTTAGCTGGGAGCTCCCAGTCTGCAGGAGAGAAGACCTCAGAGGAGGCAAAGCTCAGGACTGGGGTACAGGGGGGATCAGGGAAAGCTTCTGTGAGCATTGGTCTCGGGGCAAGCCTTGACGGAGAGGAAGCATTGTTTGGGGAGAGAAGGAGGGAAGTTGGCATTTGGGAGGCCAATGTGTGGTGGCTGAAACGAGTGTGGGGTGAGGAGACCAAGAGGAGGCAGGCTAGCTGGAATGGAGAGTGGCAGGAGAGAGACAGTGTTGGTGAGGATGTAGTGTAGGCTCCAGGTGGAAGGCAGTAGGGAGCTACTGCAGGTTCTTGATGAGGGAGCGACAAAATAGAATCAGATTCTTTAGATGACAGCTAACAGGGCCTGCAGACCAGGAGGTACTAGGAAGCTCCTTCTGCCACCATGTAGCCAGCAAGCTACGAGTAAAGCCTGGTGCTGGGTGTGGTTGAGAGGCTGATTCAGACATGTGTCTGCTCTGGTGAAGAAGGGAGTGAGGGGGGTGTGTGTGTGTGTGTGTGTGTGCAGAAATGGAGAGGATGGGGCTGCGTACACGTGAGGGGAGGAAGGGACAGACGTGGCCCTACCCTTGGGAACTCTAATCTGGGGGCAGAGACATGCTGCCTCGAGGACCCCTGATCTGAGTGGGGAGGTACAGCTACACCCTGGTGCAACCTGGTCTGAGGCCAGAAATGTGGCTCCAGGAGCCTCAGGCTGAGGGGAGCCACGCCCTATGAGAGGGGCAGTCCCCCCAGCCCCTTCTTCACAGACACTGGAGGAGCTTTCCTGGGTGGCAGAGGTCGGGCCTGAAGGGGGGGTCGTGGCTACACGGCCAGCCCCCTCTGAGGTGATCACACCTGCAGAGACGAGGAGGAGCTGAGACGCTCTCTGTCTGAGTTGGCCGACCCCAACCCCAAGGTCATCAAGAGAGTCAGCGGGGGCAGTGGCAGCGGCTCCAGCCCTTTCCTGGACCTGACTCCCGAGCCCGGGGCCGCAGTCTACAAGCACGGGGCCTTGGTGCGAAAGGTGCACGCAGACCCTGACTGCAGGAAGAGTACGTGGCCAGGTGGGGAGGCCTGGGGGATGGATGGGAGTGGGCCTGTCTCAGGCCCCCCTGACTTGTCTTCCTTCCCCCCAGCACCTCGGGGCAAGCGGGGCTGGAAGAACTTCCACGGGATCCTCAAGGGCATGATCCTCTACCTGCAGAAGGTGCGGGGGCCAGCTCCGGGGGCTGGGGCTGAGCTGGCTCAGGGGAGGGAGTAGGGGCGGGCCGAGCTGGGCTGGGACTGCAGCCAGGACGAGATGGGCACCCCACAGGAGGAGTACCAGCCTGGGGAGGCCCCGTCGGAGGCTGAGCTGAAGAACGCCATCAGCATCCACCACGCACTGGCCACGCGTGCCAGCGACTACAGCAAGAGGCCCCACGTCTTCTACTTGCGCACCGCTGACTGGCGGGTCTTCCTCTTCCAGGCTCCGTGAGTGCCCTCCTCCTGCCCATCCCAGACCCCTTCACTCCACTCCCAGCTTGCTCCCATCCCTTGTCCCTGGATTGCCTCATTCCTTCTCAGGCCAGGACTGGCATCCCTGGGTGGAACCCTGGGCCCAGGTCCCAGATGGCTGTGCTGTCTCCCCAGGAGCCTGGAGCAGATGCAGTCCTGGATCACTCGCATCAATGTGGTGGCTGCTATGTTCTCCGCACCCCCCTTCCCAGCTGCTGTCAGTTCCCAGAAGAAGTTCAGCCGCCCTCTGCTGCCCAGTGCTGCCACCCGCCTCCCCCAGGTACCCCCAGCTCTGTCCACCTGGTGCCAGCGGGACGGAGTGAGGCAGGCCTAGGCCGACTGCACTCCAGGCCGCTGTGTATGATACATGTAGATGTCCAGTGCACCAGGACATGGGCCATAGGGGGGCGTGCAGAGGCTGAAATACTGTTGGTTAACCCATACATGGTGCTTTGTTCATCCAAAGGATGGGGCACCTTTTCTAAAAACTTGCACAAAGGCACTGTCTCTGCCAGAGTGACCATGCTCCCCCGGCCTCTAGGAGGAGCAGATGCGGACCCACGAGGCCAAGCTAAAGGCCATGGCAAGTGAGTTGCGGCAGCACCGGGCTGCCCATCTGGGCAAGAAGGCCCGGGGCAAGGAGGCTGAGGAACAGCGGCAGAAGGAGGCCTATCTGGAGTTTGAGGTGAGCCTCCCGGCCCGGGCAACTCTGTGGCTCCTTGCTCCACCGGTGGGACCTCTTTGTCCCCATACAGAGGCTCAGACTAGTGATTCATGGCATGGACTCTAAGAGTGGGACTAGCTAAGTGACCCTGGGCAGACTGCTTAATCCCTCTGAGCCGCGGTTTCCTCTTCTGTGGGACAGGGACAGCATTCCATTCCCCACTAGGGAAATAAAAGGAGATGATGTCTCTTACGTGCTCAGTTTTGCCAACTTTGGTAAAGGCTCAAGAAACATTAGCTGTTACAGTTGACAGTCTAGAGAGAGCCCAGAGAAGGTCACCAAACTACCCAGGGATCATGTCGCAGTCAGTCCTTGGGGGCTTTTGGGGCTTCAGAGGTAGGCAAGAACGTGGCATCTCCTAGCCTTCTTTGGCGTTCCCTCCCTGCTCCAGACGGGGGTGGGCTGGGCAGACGGCGGACAGCAGGCTCATCCCTGCCCCTCTGCCTCAGAAATCTCGCTATGGCACATATGCAGCGCTGCTTCGGGTCAAGCTGAAGGCGGGCAGTGAAGAGCTGGATGCGGTAGAGGCAGCACTGGCCCAAGCCGGGAGCACGGAAGACGGACTCCCCCCCACTCACTCCAGTCCCTCCTCGCAACCCAACACCTCCAGCCAGCCCCGGGCTCAGTGTCCTGGCGCAGAGTCTCGCGCAGGGGCAGGCAGTGGGCGGTGGAAGCCCTGAGTTGAGGGTGGGAGTCGGGGGGGGGCGGGTGGTGCCCACCAGGCACCTGCATGACAGGGCCCTGCCTGAGCCCGGGCCGGCCTCGGGCCACCTGGGAGGGCCCCTCGGTCCAGGGCCTGACCGCGCCGGACGCGGTGTCCGGGGCAGGGCAGGGCTAGGGCATGGGCCTCAGGAGCCTTAGGCTAAGGGCCCCTCCGAGACCCCCTTTTTGTGATAATGTTTTGCACTTTTTCGTACAGGGGACTGGGACGGGAGGGGCCAGGGCCCCTAGACTTTTGATGCTTTTTTTTTTGTGTGGGGGAGACCTGACGTTTCTGCTGAGACACCCCACCCCTGACACCAGCAGTCGCCCTCCACCCTGGGGCCTGGCTCAGACAGAAGCCAGGAGTTGGGGCTGAGCTGGTTTTCCCTCCCTCTTCCATGAGGGCTCACCCGCTCTTTCCAGAGGTGGCGGAAGGGTGTCCATGCTGAGGCCCTATGCACAGGCCGGGGGCAGCATGGCCTTGCTTTCCCTCCTTCAGTGGGCCCTGCCCTTTGTATAGCCTCCACCTCCATTAAAACTGCTCTAGACTTGCTGGCTGGGCCTCCTCCTCTATCCAGTGCCTGGCCTGAGGCCAGGATAGGCATTTGGTTCCCAGGAACAATAGTCACACACATCAGGGGCTGCTCTAAGTTGGGGAGGAGGCCACACCCCCTCCCTTTCTCATGAGAATCTTTTATTTGCCCCAACTGAAGGGTGGGCACGGGGTGTTAAATAAGAACTGGAATAGGTGGGGACACTGTACAGAGGGGCCCAGGAAGGGGGCTGGTGGGTGGGCAGCAGTTCAGTGCACCTGAGGCTGGGGATGTCCGTGGCAGAGCCCTCCTGGTGGCTCAGGAGGGGGGCCCAGCTTCTCTGCTTCCTGTTCCACCGACTGGCTCCCGTATGCACTGTCCTCCTTCACCTCTGCTGGGGGAGTGGACACGGGGAAGGACATAGGGAAGAGTCAAGGCCTCAAGCCTCCCACCCTCCAAGCCCAGATCCACCTTTGAGGTAGGGCCCCTTTACCTGTGCTAGGCAGCTTTTCTCGGGTCTCAGGACCTCTCAGCAGCCTCACTCCCTCGTCCAGGCCCATGTCAGACAGGGCATCCAGCAGGCCCGCCAAGTCCCCACCAGCCAGCTGAGGAGAAGGACAAGGCAGGAGGCTTGAGTCATGGTTAGGGTGTGGTGTCCGCAGAGAAGCACCAGAGACCTGAGGCTGGGGCATGGAGCACGGGACGGGGACCGACTGACCTTGTAACTGCGTAGGAGACTGCCGCTGGGTGAGGCCGTCTTTCGATATGTGTCCACCAGACTGCGCAGACCCAGCCGTTCTGCCAGCTCTGCCCAGCTGCCCTGGGCTCCTGGCCCGTCTAGCAGATGCTCCAGGTTCTGTAGGACTGTATCCTCGAGTGGCATCTCTGGCCCTGAGGGGGACACACACATACCATGTTAGTTACCCCCCAGAGATGGGCAAAAACACAGCTGAATGCCACCTTTCTCACATGGTAACCTGATAGATAAGGCAGGAAGGGCCACTGGGGGGCAATGGACGGAGGACAGGGATGGAGGAAGGGAGACCTCCTTGAGTGGCCCTGAAGGAGAAGAGACCTCTGTGAGCAGGGGTCTGGGGTCTGGCATCTGGCAATGGGTGGGGAGATCTCACCTGCAGGGCTAGGTGGGGTCAGGGGGGGCGCCATGGTGTCCTGAGCAGCATTTAGCAGCAAGGTCTTCACCTGGGGAGACAGCCTCAGCCTTGACTACCTCCCATCACAGTCCTTAAGCCCAGGTACCAGATACTCAGGACCCATCTATAAGCCCAGCTGCCCCATCCCCTGGTACTTCTAGTCCCAGGCTGGCCTCACCTTGCTGCTGCGAGTGAGGTCAAGAGGTGTGTGGCCCCGAAAGCTGCCTCGGGTGTCCCTCTCAGGGCCCTCAGAATCTGAGTCACTACCAGAGGTGGGGGGCGAAGGCAGTGGGCACAAGGGCTCCTCGTTCTCTGCATGGATGTCGGCACCTGGGTGAGGGGATAGTCATGGAGAAGTACAACAGGAGCCCACATTAAGGATGCAAAGTGGGGGGACTGGGAGGCCCCGCTTTCGTTCCCCCCAGCCCTGTTCATATGCCCCTGAGAGTGAGACTGACCGGCCTTCAGAAGGAGGCGGGTGAGGGTCGGGGATCCCAGTCCAGCTGCCAGGTGTAGGGGCGTGTTTCCCGCAAAGGTACGGGCATTCACATTGGCCCGGAGCTGTGGGGTGCAAAGGAGTGGTTGATCACAGCACCAACTGATTGGCTGTCCCTCCGCCACACCCTCCCCATCCCTAGTCCCTCCACACCCTTGGCTCCATGCCTTCCACAATCCTCAGACCCACCTTGGTGACCAGATGGGTGACCAACCCCAGCTCCTCCATTTCTGTGGCTAGATGCAGGGCTGTTCGGCCCCCCTGCCGCTCTGCAGCCTCCACTTCAGCTCCGTTGTCCACCAGCAGATCCAGGCACTCGGGGCTTCGGGCACGGACCGCCAGGTGTACAGGGTACAGTCCTAGTGACACAGCATGCTCAGCCTGCAGCTGTGCTCCCAGTGTGACCTCCTGACCATTTGACCTCGATGCCTCATGTCCACTACAGGCACTCACCAGGTACCCTCTCTGGTCCCCACCCTTGCCCGCTGGTCCAGGTGATGAACTCACCTTCAAAGTCTGGCAAGTGCAACAGTTGGGGCATGCTGGGAACTCCACTCCGCAGAAGGGTGCGCAGCACGTCAGGGGCACTGGCACGTGCCCGGAGTGCCAGGTGCACGGCTGAGTCTCCATGCCGATCCAGCAGTGCTGGATCTGCGCCCACCTGCAGCAGGAAGCTCACCACGCTGGTCTGCCCGGTGATCACTGCCAGATGCAGGGGCGTCTGGGGAGGCAGGCAGAGTGAGCCAGGCCTGCTCCTGGCCTAGACCCACCTGACTTCCAACCCCTACCCCCTCACCAATAGATGCCCCTCACCTGGTGCAGGTGGTTGGTGAGATTAACAACGCCGAGGTGCGGGGCGTGGTAGATGACGTGGGCTATTTGCTCAATGACGCTGGTCTGCCCGTGGATGATGGCCAAATGCAGCGGCCTGGGGGTTGGGGAGTAAGACTCTGGCCTAGTGAGCCCAGCAACGCAGCATCCTTCACTCTCAAAACCCCACCACCTCCACAATCTCTCTCCCTCGGCCCCGCCCAGCCCAGACGTCTCCAAGGACATCGCTGCACCTGAACTTAATACTGCCGAGCACCTTTTGCGCTAAGTATGTACTATTATTGTGCCCCTTTAAAACTGAAGTGTGCAGAGATTAAGTATCTTGGACAGAACTAGAGCATAACGAGGCCAGGCTTGAAACCGGGTCTGTCCAACTCCAGAGCCCTGGCTCTTTTTAAGTCCCTTTCCTGCCCCGCCCCCCCACGACCTTCCACCGCGCCAAGCCCAGGACCCCGCCCGCCCGGCCGCCCGCCCTCCCACCTACGTGTCTCCGTTCTCGTCCTGCGCGGTCAGCAGGTGGCGCTGTCCTGCCAGCAGCGCGCGCGCGTCTGCCGTGACGCCGTAGTCGAGCAAGGCTCGGGCGCTGCGCTGCGCCAGGCCGAACAGGCGCGCGTTGTATTCCCGGGCTGGGGGCGACAGGGGGTGTGGGCATGGGCTAGGTCCCCACCCGCAGCGTCCCGACCGCCCGGATTCCCGAGGCCGTACCTCGATGCAGCAGCTCCGGGGCCTGTTCGCGTTGGAGGGTCCCGGAGGGGGCGCTCAGCTCTGCTGCTTCCTCCCCAGCATCCACGCTAGGCGCCTCGGAGGCCATCTGCGCCCCGCCCCCGCCTCCCGGGTAGCAGCCCATTGGGGCCGCACCGGACTGGTAGGGGCTGTAGGCCAAGGAGGAGGAGAAAAAGCCGAGGCTGCCACCTGTGGACACAGGCAGGACTGTGGGGAGGGGGCACCAGGAGGACTCTTCCAGATTTCTTCCCCCACAACTTTTCTCCCCTTTACCCCTCCCTCATCCATTCCCCTTCCTGCCACCAGCACTCACCTCCTCCTCCAGCTCCTCCATAACCCCCAGCCGAGCCCCCAGAGCCTCCACCCATGTGGGAGCCACCCCCAAAGGGCTGGGAGAAGGTGGGCAAGGCTTTCCTCCGCTTCCGCTGCACCTCCTCCTTGTCTGGGGGGAGAGGCAAATGAGATATTAAAACCCCAACTCACGCCTTGCCTCAAGAGCCCTGTCCCATGTTTGGTAATGGCCTTTCCCCTGAAAGCCCTCAGGCTGGCTCCTAGGGTCACCTCTTACTGGGACCTTCCCTACTCCTGATTTGACTCATGGGTCCCCTGATCTAGTTCTTGGGACCCTCCAGCCAAGCCCCCACCCTCCAGCCCCCGTGGGATCTTCAGCCCAGCTCCACCTTCCACCAGAGGATAATAGGTGAACTGTTTGGAGTCAGAGACATCCCCCCCACGCTTGCGTTTCAGTTGCAGGAACACAGTTACAGGACGCTCAATCTTCATCTTGTGATAGGGAGGTGTCCGGAACACAATGGCATACTAGGGGGAAAGAGAACATAAGGTGTATTAAGGCCTTGGCCTAGTTTCGGCCCAGGCCCAGCCCTGGCCCTAGGGTACCTGTTTGTGAACATCTGTGGGAGAGAAGTCCCCGAAGGCCTGCCATCCATTCTCATCATCCTCGTAGAACCGAACCTCAATGTCATCTACAGGGGAAATTGAAGTTTGGCCACAGCTCCTAGTAGAATCTCCAGGGCCATTTGTCCTGGAGCTGTCCCGGTCCCCAAGCTTGATACCCAACATCCCTAGCTCCCAGCCTAGGCTCCAGCCTCACCTTTCTGCACCTTGTCACAAAGCAGATAAACCTCATCTCCACCCCGCACAGAGCCAGCTGTCTTGTCCATTCGAGAAATCTTCAGGTTTGAGGCTCCAGGAGACTCTATGGAGATGGGATATCAATTACTTGAGAGGATATAATAGCCATGGTCCCAATTATGGAGCCAGGGGCTTTGTATTATCTGAACAACCCCAAGAGGTACAGGAACTGCTAGTATCTTCATCTACTCAAGATGGAAGCCATACTCAGAGAGGGGAAGTGACTTGCTCAAGATCACTCAGTTCATACATGGTGGGGCCAAGTTCAAACCCAGGCCTATCTGACTCCACAGTTCAAGGTTGCCCTCCATGCTCCCTCTGGCACCCAGGCCCCAGGTGATCAGGATACTCACTGCTGTCATGGATGGGTTGAGAGATAACTGGCTTCAGGGGCAGAGAGAAGGAGCCATCACTGGCTCGAAGGAAGGCAGAAAAGCGCAGCCGCACAATGCTCAGATCCATCACCTTCTTTAGTTCCTTGGCCTCCTGCTCCAGCTCCCGACGCTCGGCCTCTGGGCAGCGGGCACACATGTGACCCCTGGAGTCCTCCTCCTTCTCTACTCCTTCCATGACCACCTCCCATGACTCCCTCCATGTCCTCCATACCCGTAAGGCCCTGGGGCCTGGAGCGAAGCCGCTGTCTCTGAAGTTTTTGTATCATAATCTC